TTATGACTTACGACGTGGCGTACCGGTTGAAGTTTTCTTCTTGGTAAGATGTCCACATCATAAACTTCGGATTATTTTTCGTACATCAAAATGTTACCAACATTTTGGATTAGGCGTCATATATTTATTTTGTCAGTGTTAATATTCCTTCAGAAGAAGCGCCACCTACTATCTTCTTATTTATTCATTTTTTTATTTATTTCACATAATCAGATCCACAAAACAGAGAGCTTGTACAGGATCCCATAATCCATTCATGTTTTCAAAAGTAACACATTGACTCAATGAGACATTGGATGATTGCTCTAGAACTTAGTACATAACAAGAAATAGATAAGCACATAAAAAAATATGTTACGAAATAATACACATAAAACACATCCCTATACAAATTGTCAAATCAGGTGTCATTATTCAGAATGGAATCAAACAACTGCTTTCTGAACGATTTCATACTATCATTATTTCTCAGTTCAGTTGGTAGGTTAGGTTATTATAATGATTATCAACTTTGCAAGTTATTGAGCTTTGAGTTCTGGTAGATTTGAATCTATTTGGCCGTAAATTGTTTGCCGCTCTTGTTGAGTAATTGTAAAACTGGTTATTAGGAAAAGTTTGATTGTTGTTTTCATGTAGTTAGTATTTATTTTATGAATAGTTTTTGATGATTCAAATTTAATAGCTTTAGCCAAATTTAGTAACCCGGTTTCCTTATATTGTCTTATTCTGTGCTATCTGCAAAGATTTTCTGTCACTGGCATTTGAAGCATTTCCCCACTCACTTGGGAGATATGACATATGAGAATAAATGAAAGAGTAGTATAGTTGCTTTTGTATTCTATTATTGAGTATTTCTGAGACGAACTTAAAGCATCGACTAAACATTGTCAGTTAATAGATAACACTGGAAAGGTGTTTCTTAAAATTTAGATTGTTATCTATAATTATACCCAGATTCAACACACTCAACTTCTTTAATAATTGAACTGTTTATCGTGATATCAGTTCGTTTGAAGTTACCAAAATTAATATAACAACTTTTTTTTTTTTTTCATTGAAGCATAAATAGTTTTGAGCACACCAAGATTCCAAAGTATTTATTTCTCTTTAAATTTTGTGTTTTATGTCATCTTGTTGCCCAGAGTAAAACATGACTGCATCATCCTATGAAGATCAGAATAAACGAGGTCGTTTATGTATATCAAAAACAATAGGGGTCCTAATATAGACCCTTGGGGAACCCCAATAGTTGTAAGTGATTTGTCACTGAAGTTATCTCTAACACCCACATACTGATATTTTTCACTCAAATAATCAGTAAATAGATGGAGAGATTTGTCTCCAACACCGATACAGTTGAGTTTGGAGAGGAGCACTTGGTGATCGACAGTATCAAAAGCTTTTTTGAAGTCGATAACTAGACCCCTCATAAGTTTTTTGTTCTCCCTTTCATTATAAATAAATTCAAGCATGCTGTTTCAGTCTCTTTTTCATTTAAAACCCCATTTTGGTTTTCAGCAAGAAAGTCGATATTCTTGGGGTGATTTAAGAGTCTGTCGTACATAATTCTTTCATATACCTCAGATAAGACTGGAAGCACTGATATTGGTCTGTAGTTATTTGGATTAGTCTTGCTGCCGTCTTTAAAAATGGGAACAGATGGAAAGCTACCAGATTTATTCAATTTGTTGATAAGCTTAGCTAGCGTCTGATTGTCAGGTACGATTTCAGAAGTTATATTTTCTGTCAAATCAATCATATCAATCAACCGTAGATGTTAAATATAAACAGGGTATAAACACCCACTTCAATTTAAAGGGATAGACTTTTTGCAGAACAACAGTTAGAAACATGAAAACAATGCATGCAACATTTTGATACGATGGCAAAATAGACACATATGGATATTCTTATGAATAGTTCCTTATTGTATGTAAAACTTTACCAGATTGATGAAGTTTGAAACATGAAAATTGTTTCAATCTTGCACTTTTTGCTACATTCCCTTTTCACTAATAAATTTTGAATTTGGTCGGTATTGAAACCGCCATTTAATGATACATTACCTTGCAATTCACTTGATTTGCTCAGTTTCGTTCTCAAATTTTCAATTTTATTATGTAGTTTTGAAATCAATTCCTCTTTCTCAATGATAATTTTGTTTTGCATTTTGTGTGATGATAATATTAATTTTTTTTATAGCATGTTTTGAAGATTATTGGAACAGCATATTCTCTCCAAAAATCTTCTGTTAGAGAATAGGCCTAAAATATATAGTTTCATTCTAATCTGCTGTTATAAGAAGTGCACTTCAATGTTTGTACTCACCCTACACATTTTGCTTGTCTTCTAATTAATTTTCCTTCCAGGCCGTTCCATACATTCCTTCTACAGTGTGACCCATTTTTAATGGAAACACCCCTGTATCTCACCTAATCGTTGGTTGAGGATTCTGAAATTTACTGGAGCGAAAGATATACCAAAAATGCACTCTATGACCAAGTGGGGTCATCTTCAGTGATATACACTGCTCGCCAACAGCCTTGGGACCACCCCGATTTCCGGAAAATGATATTAGGAGTCAAAATAGGTTGAAAATCACTTCGGATTCGGAATCAGGACGCCCAATTCACTATCTATTCATATTTTCAACGTAAGATACAGGGGTGTTTCCATTAGAAGTGGGTCACACATAAGGGAATGGTTGATATTTCCATTGGAAAATTAAGGAAATGAAAGCCATTCCCACAATTCATTACACAGCAGGACATTTTCATCTATGCTCTTTTTTCAATAGTTTATGAAATCATATTTCAATTCTGACGTTCATAAAATGTATTGTCAAATTAGAAAAATTCTGAATGGAAAAGCGCGGAACGACTATGGTGCTGCAAAAACTCTAATAGTGTCATTTCTGGGTCCAAACTCTTATCGGACAAAAAAGATTCACTCATTCAGCCTTAATTGAATTCAATAAACTACCTGACAATATAAAAAATTGCAGAAATATAGGTACATTCAAAAATGAAGTGAAAAAACTGATTATTTCTGAGCAAACTGGATAAAATTAATCATGCTATTTTTTTTACAATATTATTCTTTGTTTGCCAATTTACAGTTGTTGATATATTTTGAATGATGCTATGTTTACCTATAGGTATATAATTATGTACTTCCTTATACCAGAGCCTATTCTGTCTGGAAGTTATTTGTTCAAAAAATAAATAAATAAATAAATCTAACTAATACCATCCAGTGACTCTAGTAGAGGTTATCTCGTGTGGCTTCAGAAGCTCATAACTTTTTTTAACCGGCATAATGGGCCTGGGACCAAAGTACAGGGTGATCAGTTAAGGGTAGCGAGCGGCCATATCTCATAAGATGTCGTATAGATTTTAGAAAAAAAATCATGTTAAAAGTTGCCAAAAGAAATTGCTGGAAATCATTTTCGAGTTTGTCAAACGTCCGGTAGATGGTGTAACAACCAACACCAAGTAGAAAAATGGGATTTTTATAGAATTTTGTCCCATGAAAGTATATCGATGATATCATTTTCATATTTACTGACCATTTCCCTACATTCTTTGTCTGAAACGTTTTGTTCTATCTATAAAAATAAAGCGGTGGGGAAAGTTCAATTGTTTTTTTAAACAAACCAAGATTTCTCCCGTTTATTTCGACCGATTTTACCAAACTTAGGTTCATATGAAAGAGCATAATTTGCCATACAAATCGCCTATTTGGTTTTGGATTCTTGACTCTTGCTGTCGCCGCTAGATGGCGTTAACTGAAATAGTAGCAAATTTTTGAGTTTTTTTCAAAAAAAAAAACAAATGTAATGATATATCAATTTCAATATATTTGAAATGAGGATAAATTTCTCTATATTTCGATGAAAATGATTTATCATCTAGGTACCTTTTTTTGAACCGTTAATATTGACCAAAATATAATTTTATTACACTAAAAAAGGCACGCCACTGTTTTTTATCAAAATAAAAATCAGTTTTGTAATATCTTATAAGTTGCTTACAAGAAGAACCTACTGACTTTTTTCTTTAGACAAACGGTTTTGGATTGAAAAAATAAAATGGTTCAAAATTATATTAGATATAGGCGCCCCATGTAAACCTATTTTATTTTTTCAATCAAAAACGGTTTGTTAAAAAAAAAGTCAGGAGGTTCTTTTTGTTAGCAACTAATGAGAGATTACAGAACTGATTTTTATTTTGATAAAAAACAGTGGCGTGCCATTTTCGAATGTAATAAAATTATATTTTGGTCAATATCAACGGTTCAAAAAAAGGTAGATGATAAAATATTTTCATTAAATTATAGAGAAATTTATCCTATTTCAAAACATATAAAACTTAGTATACCATTACATTTGTTTTGTTTTTTTTTGAAAAAAATTCAAAAATTTGCTAACATTTCAGTTAACGCAAATTAGCGGCAACAGCAAGAGTCAAAAATTCAAAACCAAATGTGCGTTTTGTAGGTCAAATTATGCTCTTCCATATGAGCCTAAGTTTGCTAAAATCGGTCGGAATAAACGGGAGAAATCTTGGTTTATTTAAAAAACCAATTGAACTTCCCCCACCGCTCCATTTTGATAGATAGAACAAAACGTTTCAGAAAAAAAATGTAGGGAAATGTTCATTCAATATGAAAATGATATCATCGATATACTTTCATTGAACAAAATTCTATAAAAATTACATTTTTCTACTTGGTGTTGGTTGTTACGCCCTCTAGCGGAGATTTGACAAACTCGAAAATAATTTCCAGCAATTTTTCTTGGCGACTTTCAACATGGTTTTTTTTTTCTAAAATCTAAACGACCAATATCTCATGAGATATGGCCGCTCGCTACTCTCAACTGATCACCCTGTACATAACTTGTTCAGCATGCTTTAATCTATCTAATACTAGATTTTCATAACATTTCACGGTTTACAAGAATTCAATTTGAATGGTGCGAGGTCCTTTCTATAACTGACCTGTCCGGGATGACCTTGAGGTCCCGTCATCCTCACCCTTTTCGCGGGATTGTGGTTGTCCTGCTGGCCGGACTGTTGCTGTTGTTGCTGCTGCTGTTGCTGCTGTTGTTGCTGCTGCTGTTGCTGCTGCTGCTGTTGTTGTTGCTGCTGCTGGGGCTGTTGCTGCTGCTGGTTCTGTCTCTTGTTGTCGGACTTCTCGTCTTGGTCGTCGTCAGTCAAAAACTCCCTTTTCGGATAAGGAATGGGACAGCCTACGATTCATCGAGTGACAAAATTGATTGCTTTTCATACAAGGTGTTTCAGAGTTGTGGTGAAAAAAGCCTAGGGGAGATTCCTCTTTACTTCGTTTCCGAGATAAAGGGCGTCCAAGTTCAAAAACATTCCAACTACGACTACCCTGCACTGATGAGAGTCAAAGAGATCGAAACCGGTCTGTAGGTGTCTAACTTGGTCTGGTTAAATCGAAATCAATAGGCATTCAGGAAAGATTCACTTGTATCAGTATTCGTTTATACGAGTCGATGCATAGATTTCGGGAGGATGTAATACAATGTTCTGCGCGTGGCATTAGCCAGGAAAGTAGTTTTCTCCCGAAATCTACCATTGTTATTCATTTCATGAACATTGTGTGGATATGACTTTGAGCTTCTTGAATTTATTTGAAAACATTGTTTTTCATTAATATCTTGAAAAAAATATTCATCACAAAATTTGAAGATCGTATACCTACATTTTAGAGAGGATATTGAATTGCATGTCTTTTTTGTTGGTGACTCTTTTGCTACAAAAAAAGCCGACCTGCTCGATGTGTACGCATCTGGAAATTGTGGATCAAATCTAATTGATCCAGTAAATATCTGATAATTGTGTAAATAACCCATTAGAATTTCATTCAAATCGGCTTAAACGTCTGCAAGATATTAATAAAAAATCTATTTTATGCAACTCGGAAACGAAGCATTTTCGAACCCATGTTCATATAATAATAATAATAATATCGTTTATTGTGCACAACAATGTTACACACAAAAGGCAGGGGTTGGCCTATGGCTATCTACCTCCCCCCTTAGAATTCAATTTCACAACATAAGTATTTATAATTAAGCATTCTCTTAACTACATTGTTTAGTATTCAGCAAAAAGGTGCAGTCTATATTCTTAATTTGTACAAGATTCAAAATTTATGGAATATAATTTTGTAATAGTGTAAGCTATATTAAATGATCTAATAAGTTTAGTAGACACATGGAAAAAAAGAGAATAAGAGAACAGTAGGTATAATAGAAGTAACAATTATACTAGTCTGTTATACTTGATATCAGAATATTTTTTAGTTGAGATGTCACTTGAAATTCTGTCAAATTCAATAACGAAATAAACTTATTCAAACAAGATGGTGCCAAATATGAAAAACATATGATGTGGAATGCTGAACGTATCTGATCTCATGTTGATATTATGTACGTCGGACCAGCGTGATATAAGTTCAAATAAATAATTGGGTGTTTTGGTTTTCAAGAGTTTGAATAAAAATATCGTTAGCAGGTATTGTATTCTACAATCCACATTTAATTCGTTTTGTCCTCTCAGATAAGGAGAAATATGCTTCCTATGGGGTAATGCAGCAAACAAAACGCATTCAAGCGTTTTGAATGCGTTGAAGTTTCAGTTTCTTATATTGGGGTAAAAAATTGTAATACACTGAAGAGCAATATTCTATATGGGGATTAATAAGTGATTTGACTAATCTCAATTTCATCTCTGTTGATAATTGATATTTGAATTTATGTTATGTTTTTTTCTCGTCGCTGTCTATCGTTTATTTCATTGATTATAGCATCCATATTAGTCCTTGTTTTCCTTCAACTTTTTCAAGTCCTCCTGAAGTGACTTCACGACTGAATTGAGTTCTTTGATAGCTTTTACCAATTCATAACAGTTCTCACATCCCTTTTCTTTAGATGCTGCCGTGTTGGAAACTTGGCTATCCTGACATTCATCGCATGAATAAACTGAACCCTATATATCCGTGAACGTAGCGAATTGTTCTTTACTAAGACCCAGACATTTTGCGTGAAGAAATTTCTTGCAAAAAAGACACTGTAAACCGGGCGAGCGGTCGTTCACTGTTTTTGTGCACTTTTTACAGGTAGATGACATTTTGTGAGGGTTGCTAGGCTGTGTGCACGTGAATATATACCAAAGAAGGGAAGATTTGTATTCGGTGCAATAGTTATTTATTATACAAGGGAAAAAAGTAGTAGATTTTAGCTCCAGGTTGTGATGTCTCCCGACGCGTAGCGGAGGGAGACAGAAAACCGTGAGCTAAAATCTAATATTTTTCCCGTGTATAATACACTATTTTTTTCTGTGACAGAAGGAAGGACGAATCAATATTGAGAAGATATTACATTATTTCGAAATCTGAAAATTATCGACGTGAAATTTTAAGTTTTTAACAGTAGGGACACCTGCGTTTTATAGGCATCTTTATCATTCTTTTGAAGGAATCAAATATCTGATGTCACTTCTGTCAGTTCAATTCTGTGATTTGATTTTGAAAAATTGCGAATTTAGTAGTTGTTTAGTAATATACGAAACCGCGAAGTCGAATGGAAGATAAAAGGACTTGCAGTTCTTTCTCGGAGACGGTATTATTGACTCATTTTTCGGAACTATAGCACAACAAAAGCCATTAACAGAGTATATATATGTGATGTATATCCGGGAAAGAAGTACTCACTTTTTTCCCACGGGAAAAAAAGTAATTTATGAAAAGTGACATTTTATAACCTGCCAACAGAGATGAAATGCCAACATTTTTTCCCGTCACAGAAAAAAATAATTTATTCGATATTCGTAGCAGAGCGCTTTCGACTGTTAAGTCATCATCAGTGCGTACTCGTCAGGTTAACAGGACGAATTTTCCTGTTAACCTGACGAGTACGCACTGATGATGATTTAACAGTCGAAAGCGCTCTGCTAAGAATATTGAATAAATTATTTTGCACGAAATACAAATCTTCCCTTCTTTGGTTGAGATGACATTTTGCCTAGGAAAATACTTGCTTTTCACGAATTTCCCAATGGATATTCCGTTAACTGAGATCACAATAATGTTCCTCGCACTTTATTATAGTAGTGTGCGAAAACGCCGAATTTTGAATCGAAATTTTACCACTTAAACCTGGGAAAAAACGTAGATCTTGCAAGATAACGTGTTCTGTTGTACTCGTATCGATGTATATATGCACTTTTTTTCATATTTTTTTAGAGGAATCTTCTCTAGGCTTTTGTCACCACAACTCGGAAACACCTGTATTTATTTCGATTACATATTTTCAATAAAATTACTATACAGGGTCCGGACAATTTTATAGAGACAGTATCGCTATCTCCTAAACGGTAAGAAATAGAAAGTTGATTGAATTAGGCAAAAGTTGCGTAATTTGAACCTCATCAATATGACGTTTTGCAATCTGGACAAATGTCAGCTGTTCCTGAAATATTCTGAAAACAACTGAAAATCACTGATAGCGTTTTTATTTATTTTCTGCGTTAATATTGCAGGTAGAAATTTGAAATTTTGCGTTAACCCATTAGTGCATAATGTGTCTTATAATGGACGCTCCTTGACTATTTTTTTGTGACGTCAATCTTGCAGGAATTGAATGTTTCATGCGCCAGAACTGTAAGTGTAGTTCAACAACATACAGCTATCGCTTCTATTTCATGAATTTGTATCTCGACAATATTCTGCACGTGATCAAATGGATAACAATTTGTATTGCACCCGACAAGGAGGGTAACTATTTATTATAACGGAGTATAATGAATTTCAGAATTTCCTATCCCTCAAGATCTCATTATATGCATGTGTTTATATGAACCTATGAGGTAATTCGAATGATTTTTTTTTTGTAAGACACTCAAAATATTGCTTTTGTGTTGTGTCCATTATAATGGACTCTATGCATATCGGTCATCAAGATTTTTTTGTAGATCATTCTTGCAACACCTCTTAGACATATGGAATATGGCTCAGATATCGATCAACCAACAGATAATAATATATTATATTGCCTCCAGAAGAAAAGTTGGCAGAAATGCAGTTATTCGAATTTAGAAACTGCGAATCCATAATAAATCATATTTCTAAAGGAATTATCAAACAGCCGTGCGACTTTCGTTATTCTGATCCTGATTTTGATGGAATTGAAAATAATATACATCTTTGCATTATGAAAAGGAATATTATAGCATCAAATGATTGTACGTTATACTGCAGCACGTCAACTATAGACACGACTCCATCCACTCGTTCGACTCCTCTTTTTCTTCAACGGGTTCACATTTCCTTCCACTGGATCGTGTGAGGAGCACCGAAAAAAGGTCTGGAAGTATCATCCCAAATAATTTCTTGATATGATGCATTTCCATATACCCATCAGCTGAATTCCAGTATATATTCCAGAGTATATAAAATTGCAATTTTATATGTAAAATAGGACTGCATCTGAGAGATGCTTCAAAATGTATCAAGTCATCATGATGTATAATTTTCATTATTATTATTATTGATAATATTGTGATTGATGTTATCGAGTTTTTCATGTTCTGGATATGTACTTGAATAAAAATGAATACTGAAATTCCCTACTGATCACTTTCATCACTGAACCAATTTGCATAGAGTCCATTAAAATGGACGTGTCATATGAAAAAAATCTGTTGTAAAAAAAAATTATTCGTCATGAGTTATCATTCTTTGGGTATATTTGAATGAGTAAACATCTTCAGAATATAGATATTTGAAAAAAAGTATCTTCATGCACTAATGGGTTAATAGGTAATTAATCATGACGAAGATTTTGGTTTGTCAGAAATACTCTATCATCAATATTTTCGAAGATTCACCATGCAACTTTCGTTTTTATTATGGGCGCCATATTCGTTTTTTATACCATTGAATAGGGCAAAAAATACCCTTCACAGCCATGTAAAACATATTGACATTATACCATGAAACAGCACCAAAAACAGTAAAAACCATTTTTTGCTGGTTATCACTGCTTAAAATTAAACTGCTCAACATTTTCTAATGTGGTTGGCCCTTGATAATCAGGAAAAAAATCTTCTCAAGTAGAGAATTTGCATTCTCCTTCATATGAAGATATTCACATAATATCATTCTGAATATTCAACAGAAAACAACTAATTTCCTGACTATTGCTAGGAAAGTAGTTGTTTTCCTGTTGAATCAACCGAGAAAGAATTAATATTTTCATCACATGGAGAATGCGAATTCTCAATGTATTTCTTTATATATATATCAATTTTTTGTGTTCTTAAATATATCTGAGAATATTCCTCTTCAGTGCTAAGTGTTCTTTGAACCTTGTTTTTATGGGACGCCTTTCAAAACCTGAGTCTCTAAAAACCTTATCAAGTCCACTTGTGTACTTGTTTATTGAACGGGATTGGGATTTTTCTCTGATTGTTTTTATCTGCTTGAAAAGTTGTAGAATTCCTGAGTGATAACTTAAATTTATATCTAGGCATTAATTTATCTACTATTTTGATATCATAACCATTGACACCAGCCACTTTATAAACAACACTTCTTTCAACATCGAATCTTTGTTTGCTCAGAGGAAATGAAACTAGTCTATGCACTAGGAAATTCAAACTTGCCATTTTATGTTGAAAACAGTGGGTCATTAGTTATGTATGTAAGTGTGTTAGGTAGTTTTTTTCTGAAAACATCAAATTCCAAATTCTTTTCGCCATTTTTGATCACAAGACCATCTAAGAATGGTAATTGACCGTTGTTTTCGCATTCAAAAGTGAATTTGATAGAGGGGAAGCAATTGTTCAATTGTGAAATGAAGTTATCTATATCTGTGATTTTCGTATCAAAAATGGCAAAAATATCGTCGACATATCTAATCCAAACCCTAGGGAAATACTCTAATTTTCTTGTGCATTCGTTTCAAACCGATTCATGAACAGTTCAGCCAAGAAAAGTAATAAACAATTACCCATGGCTGTATCGTCATGTTGCTCAAAACATTATTTTCTCTATTGAAAAATATTTTGGCTCATGCAGAGGTTTGTGAGATCGACCAATTCTTTGATATTATCCGGATAAAGGTTGTTATATTCGAGTAATTCCCTTAAATTTTCCAAAATCGTTGGTAACATCTGAACTCAACCATGAATAACATTAACTTGACGGTTATTGTCTATTCACGGTTGGGTGGACATATTCTTAGTATATAAGTAGCCCACTAGGATAGAGCATTTAGTTTCAATCTCCTTCTGAAGATTCTAACATAGTTAGCGAAACACGTGTAGAGGTGTAAAAAATCGGTTTGGTTAGTGGTAAAACAGTATGTAGTATAAATCTATGTTTTGATAATGATAAAACACTCAGACCTACCTGCAAAAACGTCCTGCGTAGGAAGAGGATCTTCGGCAAAGTAAGGATCCTGCATGGCCTGCTCGGACGTTATGCGTTTGTTCGGATCCATGAGGAGCAACTTCTGCAGGAGGTGGAAAGCCTTGCTGTCCTGCTTTATCTTGTGCCTGTCCATGTACTTCACCAAAGAGCAATTCACATAGCTACGGAAATTGTAATCAGGTTTCCATCATCTTCAATGAAACAGGTTCAAAGATTTGAATCAATCAATCAACTTCAGTATTCCCAAGCAAGAATATTTGTTTACAGAAGGAAACATAGTAAATATACAAATAGATTCATCAAAATAAAGAATACAGTGAAATATGACTCACACTCAGGAAGAAATCCGTTTTTAAGTCCATCTAAAAATGGTTCTTAATTGAAATACCAAACTACAATACTATCTCTAAATACTCAAGGACCTACAGTCAGCATGGGGGCACACTGATTCTGTTTCATACAGATATAACATACAAACTTGATGTTAATGAAATGAGAAATTTTGATTCAATGCTAGTAGAAAAAGAGTTTGAATTTTGCGCTGTTCATTGCAAAAATCCAAATATAATCATAATTTGCCTGTATCGCTCACCTTCATCGAATGTCAATCTTTTTTTAGAAAGACTAGAAATACTGTTAGTACAGATTCCTTATAATGCCTCTGTAATACTCACAGGTGATTTCAACATAGATTATGGAGATAAAACTTCAAATGCAACGCAGTCACTAGACAATATATTGAATAGTTTTAATCTAGTTATGCATATTGATTCTCCCACTCGTTATTCCAGATATTCTAGTTCAATTATAGATTATGTTTGTTCAAATATTGAGAATATAAAATGTTATGTAACCAATGCTGGCCTTTCAGACCATGAAGCAATTTTATGCACTGTGCCACATGATCTCAGAATCCCTAGTAAAAAAGAATATAAAGGAAGAATATATTGCAAAAAAAATTTTGACAAATTCAAGGAACTTTGTAATGCACTTGACTGGCGTGAAGTCATGAGAGGAGATGATCCTCTAACAAAATACCATTCGATGTTGTCGTATGTATTTAACAGGGCATTCCCAATCAGAAATATCAAGAGTAAACCTAGAAAACCGTGGATAACTAGAGGTATTAGAGTATCAGCACAAAATCTGCGATTCTTACACTCGGTAAGAAAATTTGCCATCGGTAATGAAGCCTTCAACTCATATTATAACAAATATCGATCAATTTACAGGAGAACTCTCGAAATTGCTAAACAGATACATTATAGACAAAAAATAGGGAAATCTGGAGATAGGCAGAAAGAGAGCTGGGCCATTATTAAGGAACTACGAGGGGGAAGAAAAAATCATTAAATTCCTATAAAGACGGATCTTGGAAGTGATGATATTAATGGTTATTATTGTTCAGTGGCAGACATCCTTTCAAAAGATATTCACCCCACTACAGATCCATTATCTTACATGAATAATATTTCTATTTCTGAATCATTTTATTTTGCTCCCACAGACATTCTTGAATTGAAACAAACTTTTGATGACAAAACGCAATCGTCATTCCTTTATACAAAGGTGGTGATACAAATGATCCCGCAAACTTTAGGCCTATCTCAATGCTACCCACACTGTCGAAAATAGTTGAAAAACTTGTAAAAAAGAGAATGATGATTTTTTTAAATAAGCATAACAGCATCAATTCTGCCCAGTTTGGTTTCCAGACTGCTAAGAGTACTGATGATGCAATTTTCAATCTATTACAACATGTGTATCTCAAACTTAATGATAAGGAAGCTGCGGCTGCAGTTTTTTGTGATCTGACTAAGGCTTTCGACTGTGTCAACCACAAATTTCTGCTTCAAAAATTAGAAAGATATGGTTTCAGGGATTTAGTTTTGCAATGGTTCACTTCTTACTTATTCGAAAGAACCCAAAGTGTGTCCCTTCAAGGTAATATATCATGTAGATTGGAGGTTAGTTGGGGAGTGCCTCAAGGATTTGTGCTTGGACCTATCCTCTTTTTGTTATACATCAATGACCTAGCGTCGATCGATATTATAGGAAAATTCACCCAATTTGCAGATGACACCACACTATTTTGGCACAGTAGAAATAGTTATGACTTACAACAAACAATTAGTAACGATATTGCTAAGGTGAAAAAGTGGTGCGATTCTAATATGTTGTCCTTTAACATCTCTAAAACAAGTGTCCTAACTTTCAATTGCACTCTGCAGGGAGAACTTCAGTTAGGTAATCAAGTAATCAGTAATAGAACAGATACGAAGTTTCTAGGTTTACACATTGACAATAAATTGAAGTTTAGTGACCATATTGACAAATTGCCACAATTTCAATTTCAAAATATCTATGGAAAATACTTCAATTTCTGATCACAGAATTATGTATACTACCATAAAAAAATCCAACACTCAATTAAAACAATTTAAAAAACGTGAAATAGTGAAAATTGATTATACTAAATTCAAACAAGTATTTTCTGAAAAATTAATGCAAACACAATGTGAAGTATTTCAGGACATAATAGACATTATTGTGGAATCTAAAAGACAATGTTCATCAAAGATATATTTGAGATCACGTGAAGATAACGATTGGATCAATGACACAATTATTCAAGAAATAAAAATTAGAAATTCCAAATTTGATAGACATAAACAAAATGTTGGTAATCAAGAGCTTTTCAATGAATACAAAATACAGAGGAATAAAGTTAATGCTCTGATAAAAAGGGCGAAAGCTCAACATATAAATAGAAAATTTGAGAATTCTGAAGGTAATCAAAGAAAACTTTGGGATACGATAAACTATTGTTTGAGAGGTTCCACAAAATCAAACAGATATAGTGATATTGAATCGATAAAAATTAATGGTAACATTGTCAATGATGATCTAGAAATAGCCAAAATTATGAATTATCATTTTTCGAGTATTGGTGAGAATATAGCAAAAGAAATAATATCGTATTATAATAATCTTCCACGTCAAAATGTCTGTCCACAATATAATGATTCCACAATGCTTCTGTTTCCCACTGATGAAAGCGAAATCATTTCTATTATTCATGATTTAAAAAAGACATGTCCTGATCCAGAAGGTTTGATTACTAAAGACATATTTGAATTGAGACACATTTTAGCTACACCAATATCAAAATTGATCAATGAATCTTTCATGAAAGAAAGTTTCCCACACGAATTAAAACATGCATCAGTAAGAGCTATTTACAAAAATGGAAATGCTCAGGATCCAACTAACTATAGACCAATAGCTTTAATAAGCATATTTTCTAAAATTTTTGAAAAAATTCTCAAGAAACGAATTGTAGAATTCATCAACAAAAAATATAGCTTTGATTCTAATCAATTTGGTTTTCAAGAAAACAGTGGAACACAAGCAGCAGTACTACAAGTGATAGATTCAATCCAGAGAGGACTTGATTCAGGAAATTATGTGGTAGCTGTTTTCATTGATCTCAAAAAGGCTTTTGACACAGTTGATCATAAAACACTTTTAGAAAACTTAGAAACAATGGGACTCAGAGGCACTGTGAGAAATATTTTGAATTCATATCTTGAAAATAGGACAATCAATACAAAATCAAACAACTCTGTGTCAAATAAACTATTAATCAATAAGGGTGTCCCACAAGGCTCTGTTTTAGGACCTATACTATATTTACTTTATGTTCAAAATATCAGTGAAATTGGTCTAGCGTGTGAATATACCATGTATGCAGATGATACAGTACTTTTATATGAAGGCAAGAATCCTTCAGATTTAGAAAATATGATAAATGAAGACTTGAAAATATTTGAAAAATGGCTCCAATCTAACCTTTTATCGATAAATACGAACAAAACAGAATATATGATTTTTCACCAAAAAAATAAACAAAAAATTCACCTCAACCTCAAAATAAAAAATGAACTCTTGAAACAAACTGACCAGATAAAATATCTTGGTATTTGGTTTGATGACAGGTTGAAGTGGGACAAACATATTGATGTTCTGACAAAAAAAATATCTCCAATTATTGGTGCATTGAGAAGATGTCCCAAACTTGATATTAAAATTGCAAACATGATTCTCTACTCTCATATACTGAGTCGTATCAACTATTTAATAAATGTTTGGGGATCTTGTTCAAAAAATAATTTCAATAAAATATCAACATTATATAGAAAATCGTTAAAAGTATTGTATCGTCTCCCATTTGATACACCAACCAATCAATTGTATGAAATAACAAATACGTATTCTTTAGATGAAATATATAGAATTGAAACTCTCAAAATATCATATAATATCATAAATAAAAAATTGAAGTCGAATATTATTTTGATACGGAATTCTGAAATTCATAATCATGAAACTAGACAATATAACTTGTTCCATCTTGACGCCGCTAGCTCCCTAATCGGACAAAAAAGATTCACTCATTCAGCCTTAACTGAATTCAATAAAATACCTGATAATATAAAAAATTGCAGAAATATAGGTATATTCAAAAATGAAGTAAAAAAACTGATTATTTCTGAGCGGACTGGATAAAATTAATCATGCCATTTTTCTTTTTTTTTTTTTTTTTCTTTTTTTTTTACAAATATTATTCTTTGTTTGCCAATTTACAGTTGTTGATATAATTATTTTGAATGATGCTATGTTTACCTATAGGTATATAATTATGTACTTCCTTATACCAGAGCCTATTCTGTCTGGAAGTTATTTGTTCAATAAATAAATAAATAAATAAATAAATAAATAAATAAATAATAAAATATTGACAAATTAAGGAAAAAGTTGTCATCTGGCTGTTATGCAGTCAGAACAACATCATGGGAACTTGGTAGAGAAATGGCCAAAAGTGTATACTTTGCTCTCATTGATTCACATTTGAGATATGGAATTTGTTTCTGGGGTTCATGTAGTAAAACTTTGTTTGATGTGATTTTTGTCCTACAAAAAAGAGCCGTGAGATACATGTGTAGAGCTGGATTCAGGGATACTTGCAAGCCATTATTCATAGAGCACAAAATATTACCTCTTCCATGTATTTTCATTCTGGAAACGGTATGTCTCATACACCGAAAATATAAAAACGAAAATCATATTACTACACACTATAATACAAGACGGGCACATA